TTGTGTTTTAGTTTCTGTTCTTGTGTTAGCTCAATCATACAGTCCTTTAATGGAAAACTAGTTCGAAGTCCTCACATTAAAGCTGCTTCCCTTCTCTTGATAGTTATTGAAAATGATAACGTTGAATCGAATTTTCTTCTTTCTTGCCCCCCATATATTTGAGGAGAAAAGCCTAAAAGTAGAGGGAGAGAGAAAGGATGAGGGAATATGGCAACTTTATTTAGCTTATCTCAATTAATGTAGGGAATAACTTCTCAACTCCAGATTTAAAATAAACACTATCAGCATTAAAGAATAAAAGTAATGACATCAATGGGAAAGAATAGTAACGTAAAAAAAGCATAGTAACATATTGGAACATATAACCTAGAGCATGTGTGACCCCAAATGAAGGTTAATTAATTCATTTTCTAATAAAAAGCATATGCTTCTAGGGACTAGTTTCCTTTCGTTACATAAGTGTTTTCTAGGGAATTTGGGTTAGGAAAATTTTGTCTTTATTTCTGAACGGTATTTCCTCTCCGATTTCAAAACAACTTATATTCACCTCAGTGGATGTGTCATCAATCTGTTATGTGTTAATGTGCTCTATTCTTTCTTGTGCCTGACCAAATGTTTCATTTCCTGAAAATTAAGTTACTTAAATGCAACAAACAGATGGTCAGAGTCCTGTAGAAGGTTGCTCTTCTATGAAATTTATTAGCTGAATTCCCTTGGTAAGTTCAGAAGTTAGCAAAACATTTTTCTTGTATGCCACTATATTATAGTTGATGTTGCAATGTTCAGTCATTTTTAAGGTCAATTACCTTGGATAGCCGGAAGAAAAAGTTTAAAAGCTATTCATGGTTTATATAAAAAATAACACTGATCAAGTCATAGTGTCTTGGTTGAAGTGCATCTTGGCATTAATAAATTGTTGTGTGTTAACATAATTACAAATTACATGTGTAATATAAGTTACATGTGCAAACAGAATGATAATAGCTTGATAGTTCATATTTCTGCTTTTTAAATATATTCTCTGAGTTAAAGAAATATTTCTACTGTGTATAATGTAAGGAGTTTGGATGAGTAGGGCATACTCCTTTATATATGACCTTTACTGTCAGATATAAAAGCTTTGCTCATTTAGTTCCATGAGGCGGGGGACAGCTCATGAGAAGTATGATTTTTCTCTCAACCTCATATAATTTTATTTCTAAAAAAAAATAAGTGATAGGTCAGGCCTATAATCCCAACACTCAGGAGGCTAAGGCTAAGGCAGGAGAAGTTCCATGAATTCAAGGCCGATGTGAGCTACATAGTCTGTTGTAAGCCACCCTGTGAACATCGTGTGAGATTTGGCCTCAAAACTAAATTATTAGCAATTATTCAGAAAAACAAAAGCATTTACTATTGGAAGGGTTCTTTTAGAAGTCACCCAGTGTATTCTTTAGGAAAACGATTAAACAGTAAGGCTGTGGTTAAAGCTCAAAGTTGAAGCTGGGCGTGGTGGCGCACACCTTTAATCCCAGCACTTGGGAGGCAGAAGCAGGCAGATCTCTGTGAGTTCAAGGCAAACCTTGTCAACAAAGTGAGTTCCAGGACAGCTGGGGCTACAGGGAGACCCTGTCTCAAAAAGACCAAAAAAAAAGAGCAAAGTTGAGTTATAAGTTTCTAATATGTTGCTTCTTTTGAAATATGTTTACCTAACTATGATGTTCTGTTTGGGAGAATAGGAACCTTTTCTTTTTATAAAGGTGCTTGTTAGAGGACATTTGTGGAGTCCTTAAAGTTTGCAATGAACATGCCACAAAATAGATGCACTAAATGCCCTTGGTAATCTGTTCCATGCCTTCGGCCTAAAGCATTTTAAGAATACCTCCAATTTATGTGATACATACTAAATACTTCAGCTTGTGTGTGGGTTTGCTGAAGCCGTGTTACAGAGAAGGGAAAAGTAGAGAAGCACTGTGTGCTTACAGGTGCCTAGAGACATGTGAGATTGGAGCTGTGTGTGAATTCAGATGGCTTAGACGGGAGAGCTTTGGCTCTTGGAGACTCCCTCCACCTTGCCCTTCAGAGCCGCAGATGAGACCGGCAGTTACCGCATCACTCCATCTCCATCCCTCGCTGGGTTCAGAGGTCACTGTTCAGTCTATCCCTTCTGCCCACAGAGACCCAGGTCTGTGGCTGATTTCTATTGATCTTTCCTCTGTCCATTCATTGTATTTCTTCACTCAGACACAAGGCTTTGGGATTTAAGGAGCACAAACTCTCCAGAACATTGCCTCAATGTATAACGCTAGAGTACATAGAGGGAAAAAAAAGAACTAGCTAAGAAGATGCCCAAAGAGGAAGGTTCATTCAACAGCTGTCCTAGAAGCATCCTGTCATCTTTAAGGTCCTGCTATGACCATTACTTCCAAAGAGAACCTTTGGACCCCTGGGGGCCAGTGATCAATCAATCAAATCAGTATGATTTATGTAACATTAAGAAAAAGACTAAGACATGATGTGGGGAGAAATGTTCAGTTGCGAATAATGTTATACAACCAAGCATTGTGTATATTCATATTAATTTTTGATTTAAGGATCTGATGTTCCCATAATACCTTATGTGTTATTTGTAGGTCGTCAGACAGGGAAAAAGTAATGGTAGAGGGAGCTTAGGTAACCCTAACCTCCCCCTATGCTTCAGCTCTGGCTTAAGAAAGGACAACTGTGTAGCCTTAGTTTATCTGAAGTAGTGAGATTTGATTTGTTAACAGTAAAACAGGTTCGAGAACAATCACTCTTGGTCTTAACGGGTGGAAGGTATTAGCTGGGTGTGCAGACGTCACTCAGACCACATTGATAAGCATGATGATCCTTACCTCCATGCTGCATGGTCAAGACCCAATACATCAGAATTAAAGATCCATCCAATTCCCAAGGCAAAAAGATCAGAACAGTCAAGGTAGTGAGAGGGTACCCCAGGAGCGTTTATCCTCGCAAATGGGAAGCTTAGGGGAGAACCGTGGCAGTACAAAGCTACCCACAACCCTTTGCTACTCACCAGCCTCTGACTGAGGATTCTGAGTACTGAGCCGCTTTTCAGCACTTAGTTGTGAGTTTTTTTTAATGCGTGACGCATTTAATTCTAAACTTAAAAATACCTAACGTTCCCTGCTCCACTGTTAACAATAAGTGAGTCCCTGTGTGTTCTACTTTGGTTTTCCTGTGGGAGAGTAAATAATGTTATACAACCAAGCATTGTGTATATTCATATTAATTTTTGATTTAAGGATCTGATGTTCCCATAATACCTTATGTGTTATTTGTAGGTCGTCAGACAGGGAAAAAGTAATGGTAGAGGGAGCTTAGGTAACCCTAACCTCCCCCTATGCTTCAGCTCTGGCTTAAGAAAGGACAACTGTGTAGCCTTAGTTTATCTGAAGTAGTGAGATTTGATTTGTTAACAGTAAAACAGGTTCGAGAACAATCACTCTTGGTCTTAACGGGTGGAAGGTATTAGCTGGGTGTGCAGACGTCACTCAGACCACATTGATAAGCATGATGATCCTTACCTCCATGCTGCATGGTCAAGACCCAATACATCAGAATTAAAGATCCATCCAATTCCCAAGGCAAAAAGATCAGAACAGTCAAGGTAGTGAGAGGGTACCTCAGGAGCGTTTATCCTCGCAAATGGGAAGCTTAGGGGAGAACTGTGGCAGTACAAAGCTACCCACAACCCTTTGCTACTTGCCAGCCTCTGACTGAGGATTCTGAATACTGAGCCGCTTTTCAGCACTTAGTTGTGAGTTTTCATTTTACATTCAGTTTTATTACACAATGAGATATTTCCTTTTTTATGTGTATATTATGGACTGTGATGACCAACAAACAATTTGTATTTATCTAGATAGAGGCTGATCTAGTCACAATCACAAACCAGCATCTGCTCTGTCTATGACATAGAGGGCAGGGCACTAGCAATCCCTTATATTGGTTTTTGTAACATGGAAAATGCACTAATCAATATCGTACCTTGGCCTACGTCACTCATGCTCTTTAATGCGTGACGCATTTAATTCTGAACTTAAAAATACCTAACGTTCCCTGCTCCACTGTTAACAATAAGTGAGTCCCTGTGTGTTCTACTTTGGTTTTCCTGTGGGAGAGTACTTCATTTTGTTCATGATGTTTTATGTTCATGTTCTTATTGTTTCTCATTGAAATCCAAGTGGAATTGTGATGTTCAGATTATAATATTGATTTGTGCACTCAAAAAACTGTGCACACAAAAATAGTCTTTTGTTGATAACCCGTCACAGCACTGAGATTTAAGGAATTATATAATGCTCAGAGAAATTTTACTTGCCGTATGTGGTAGCAAGCATATCAGGCAAAATGTAGCCTAGTCCAACCACCCAAATACTTCTTGAATACTTAAGAAGCGTGCATAGCACGGCGCTCTGGGCCAGGGAGGGGCTCTATGGTAGCATTTCATCACCATCATAGTGATCTTTAGTCTGTTCTTGGCTTCTACTGCTCACAACAGCAGCCTCCTTCCATAGCAGAGCGGCCCCGGAAAACTTTACCTGAAATGTTCTTTGAGTCCATTCATAGGTACTCTGTGTATGAGTTCATCTCTTTTCTATTAAATTTAAAATGTGTAGAGATGCCCTGGTATCCTTTTTTAAGGACAACATGCTTGATATTGGAGATGATCCTAAGAAATTACACATATCTCAATATGGTATTCTAATTAAAACTTAATTAGCAATTCACTCTGCTAGAACTTAGAATTTTTAGTATAGAAATAACTTCACTATGCATAGAAAATAACGATGTATTTTTTGGAGACATTAGAATTTCAAAAATATAAGGCAGCACATGTGGAATCTGGAGGTGTTAAAAATCTTAAGTGTGGGTCTCTCCAAGCTTTGAGCTTGAACAGTTTTGTGTAATCAGCAAGCTTGCCAAACAGTATCAAAAAACTCATTTTCTTCAAGTGCTTTATTTATCTTTAATAGAACCTTCATCACCCTGGCGTTGTAAATTTGGAGTGTATGTTTGAGACGTCTGAAAGAGTGTTTGTTGTTATGGAAAAACTGCACGGAGACATGCTGGAGATGATCTTGTCAAGCGAACAGGGCAGGTTGCCAGAGCACGTAACCAAGTTTTTAATTACTCAGGTAAGAAATCAATTAGAGACAGAAAAAAATAATATTTAATATCAGAAGTTACCACTGTTTAACTACAGCTCTCTGGCCTTGGTGTTCACACCCGGCTTCCAATCTAAACTACACTAGAAAAGGTTGTAAGGGTAGATTTTATTTTCTGATTTCTACCTATATCATTCACAACCCAGCATACCAAATTAGTAACATGTAAGCTGACCCTTGTCTTAAAACTGTCCATGAGACTTTAAAAAGTACGGTGACTTAGTCCTGGTTCAATGCAAATATTTAAGAATGTGTTCCTGTGTCTCATGTTGAATTCCTTTGTCTGCATCTGTGTTAATTGGTGCATGAATCCCATAATATCCCTGCTTCTTCCATTGAATTTTCCTTAGCAACCTGCTATGTTAATTTTAGACTATTTCAGTGTCTTAAATATGAAGAAACTTGACTGGTCAGTGTGTGTTTTCTCTGGGCCTCTGAAATCTATCTCTTGGTTAATTTCAGTCATATTTTTACATTAGATTGAAATGGAATTATTTTGGTGGTTTTCTTCCACACAGATTCTAGTGGCCTTGCGGCATCTTCATTTTAAAAATATCGTTCACTGTGACCTCAAGCCAGAAAATGTGTTGCTGGCATCAGCCGATCCATTCCCTCAGGCAAGTACAAAAACCAACCAGCTGACGGCATCACCAGCTCCCACACAGCCTCTGCTCATCTTCTTTTTCCCCCTCAACACCGTTATTTGTTTGAAGTCGTCCCTGAGAATTTTCATCCGCTTGTTACCTTCTGATATTTCTGTATATTGGCTGTGTGTCTGGTTTATTCTGGAGTGGCTTTGATGGTGCACACCTGCGCCTGCCTTCTCAGCCGGTTTCTTGACTTCTCCAGAGCAGATGGACTCAGCCCAGGGCTGAAAGCACAACTTTCAGACTGGGGGACACCTTGGGATCCCTGAAACTCTGCCAACTGTTAGGGTTCAGACACACAACAACTCCCTCCCCAATGCAGCAGAGCCTCACGGGCTTGGAGTCTTATCTGTGTCCTGGTGCTTTCTCCCGATGGACCCGATTCATCTATCCGAGTTGCCCATCACCAACTCTCTGAGGTCAGGGACCCAGGCAAACCTTCTCCTTTTCCTCCACACACAGGCTGGGGAAAAACTGGATCTCTCTGGGGAATGAGAACCGTGCAGAGCACTGGCCAGGGTGGCTGTCTTGCTGTGCTGACACCGTCGTGTCCTGCCCACTGGCTAATGCAGAGCTAGCTCTCAGAGTTGCCGTGGAAGCTCCAACCCATCTTTCTACCTGTCCTTCGTCCTTTGCTTATTATAAGCTCTGAGTTACAGCTATCATTTCTGATGTGTATGCTTTTCTATCCAACACTGTCACCCATTTCTGAGGATGATTATTTCTGCATTTGTCTTTTGGTCATTTCGGACAGGAAGGGGTAAAGCTTACGAGGTACTTTCAGAAATAAAAATATACCTTTGTCTCAGGGCATTTGTCTCAGAAATATAAGGTAGAAATATCTGCTACCATGTATAAGGTATTTTAGTTATCTCTGGCAGAGTTGAGCTAATACATACACAAATGCACTGTTTCAGTGAATTCTTACTGTCAACAGGTGAAACTTTGTGATTTTGGCTTTGCACGAATCATTGGAGAGAAGTCTTTCCGGAGGTCCGTGGTGGGTACCCCAGCCTATCTGGCACCTGAGGTTCTGAGGAACAAGGGCTATAATCGCTCCCTAGACATGTGGTCTGTTGGGGTCATCATCTATGTGAGCCTAAGTGGTACCTTCCCGTTCAATGAAGATGAAGACATCCACGATCAGATTCAGAACGCAGCCTTCATGTATCCGCCAAATCCCTGGAAGGAGATCTCTCATGAAGGTAATGCCCTCCCTTCAACAGTGACAGTAACACTCTTATTTATTATTTTTATTTTATGTGTGTGAGCACATTGTCTAAGTGTACCACGTGTGTGCAATGCCCACAGAGGCCAGAAGAGGGTGTTGGATCCCTTGGAACTGGAGATACAGGTGGTTGTTAGCCACCATGTGGGTGCTAGGAATTGAACCCGGGTCCTCTGCAAGAGCAGCCAGTGCTCTTAACCGCTGAGCCATCTCTCCAGCCCTCATAAAACTACTTCTAATGAAAACAACATACCTGAGATACTAGTTGTTACTGAAGCCAAATTTAAAGATTTATTTGAAAACATCTTATGTCAAGGTAAAATGAGAGTTAAGCTTGCATCTACTGCAAAAATCTAGAACTGAAGTGATTTAGTAACATTTTTTCCATGATATATATTTTAGCTGAAATTTTAATTCTATAGTAATAAAAATGAAACTACCTTCCTTTTGATATGGTATTTTAATATAGTTTTGATTTAGTTATCTTGATTTTTGTAGATGCTGGCTTTGCCTGTATATACGTACACCTGTGCATGCATTAACTGCTTCTGAGTTCATTCTAAGTGTTCAGATTTCCAGCATCATATATACATTGAGATATATACATTTCCACCATTATATATACATTACTAGATAACCCTTGTATTGATATCTGCACCTGCACTGGTACAGAAATGGGAAGAGTATAGATAAACTGCCTAAAATAGATGAAGCCTTAATTACTGTTAACACTAAATGGCAAGAGCTGCTCCATTATAAAAACTTTAATGGTTGTTACCTTTACATCCTTTACAACCTCCAATTATTTGTAAGCCTTCTCTAGATATATCTTAAAGGAAACTCACCCCCAAGAAAGCTAGCCCGTAAACCAAAGGAGTAATTAAATATTTAGAAAAAGACAAAAGTGATGTGCAAAAAAGACAAAAATGATCTCTTTCCAGTGACCATTTCTTGTTAGGAAACATTACCAGATACAGTTAATGCCCTCATGCCTCAAATCTCTAATCTCAAAACCCAGTAAAATAATTTGATGCTGTTCCCAGAATGAAAATCTAAACTATCCTAAAGCCAGGTCTGTTATCATTGGGACCAGATACTGAAATCACAGATTGCAGTGGCTCAAAAATCAGTTGTTGGGATATCAGAATTTACATCCACTATACAAAGTATGGAGTAGAACATAAAAATGTTTCTCAAAAACATGAAAGTAATAAATGAAAATGTGTTTCAAAGACATAAAAATAAGTTGGCTCAGCAGTTAAGAGCAATGGCTTCTTTTGCAGACCTGGGTTGGTTCCCAGCACCCACATGGCTACTAACAACCACCTGTAGGTCCAGTTCCAGGGGATCCGATGCCCTCTTCTGGCCTCCACAGGCATTGCATGCATGTGGTATACTTACATACATACACGCATACACATGAAATAAAATCTGAATAAATTAATAATTTTAAGAAAACAAAAAGAGATAATAAACAAATATTAGATAGACATAAACCCAGTAACTGAATAATGCAAAGGAAGATCTGGAACATTTAGTAAAAACTATCCAGTATAATCCAAGTGCCGTTTATATTTGATCAGGAAATACATACTTTAGTTGACTGGGAAAAGCATCGAGAATTTTCTGCCTCTCAGACAAGGGACATAAACATCAGCTCAGGTGGAAGAGGAAACCCTCTTTCTTCTAAAGAACGCAGCATCAGCTTGCAGATCATCCGGCCCGGGGCCTCCTCCTAGCTCATACTTTCTGGGGACACCCAGTGTCTGTACTGGGGTGCTCAGCATCTGTAGTATTTGTTCACTAACTGGATGGTAAGTGAGTTAGTTCCTTGCTGCTGAATGAGCTAATCCTTGAACACAGGAAAAAAGAGGTAGATTGTGTCACAGAATCAGCTGAGCAGTTACAAAAGCAGTTCCAGGCCCAGGTTCTCTCTCACTGTGTCACAGAGAATAAGTAATTTCCTGATTAGACATTACAGTGGGGGCATCATCTCTCACTTTCTTTGTGCTTTACTTTCTTATCTGTAAAATGGGCTCATGATTCCTGCACACATGATGAGATATTGAGGAAGTCTGAATGAGATCAAAGCTTAGCAGCATCTCTACAGGCGGGAGGTGGGAGGCAGCCAAGACATGGATTAGGAGAGGATCACAGAGCATTGAGCCTAGCAGTTGCCCTGACTAGTAAGGAAGAATTGACCGTATACATAGAGAACTCTGCAAACTCCTGTGCGTGTCTCCTAATAGTCTTCAGATCTGTTTCTGGCCTTGCTTTCCTCCTTGACATCAAAAGGTAAAAGAACATCTTATGAAGTCTTTGTAGAATACATAGGTGTATGGATGGAAAACACTTTTTATCACATAGAGTGTTCTCTTAGTGCAAATTTGAACTTGCTATAATGCCCGCTCCTTCTGCTTAAGCAGTCATTGTACTGCTAGAGACAAGTCAGAATGGTTTAGTCTCATGACTAAGGCCTCATAGTGACTTTGAAACTAAGTGCTTAGACTTGAAACCATTTCTCTGTGTCTCTTCCTATACCACGCATTGCTACACAGCAGAAGGTAGTTTATTTCTTATGATTTCGTATTTACAAACCTGTGGATTTTTATACTCATTAGCTTGCTATGATGATATCATAACCTGAGCCCTGGCATCAGGTAGAGAGGCTTACTATTTCTTAATCAGTGAATTCATCAGAACTCTTCTGTTTCAATAACAGAAATGCATCTGAAGTAAACAAGGTAATTTACTGACCCTCAACCAGGAAATCCAAAAGTTAAAGGTCAGGCTCAGCTGGCTCCTCTAGTCCCTGTGATACTTTCCCCTGGTCTCAGCTCCGCTTTATTTTTTTTTGTAAATTTTTAGTTGAAGTTTTGTGTATTTCATACAAACATCTTAACCAAGTTTATACCCCTTCCCCATAGCCCCCCACCGGAGTTCATGCCTTCTGTCATTTGTGTAAAGGCCTATTGAGTCAAGTTAGTGTCCCCAGACGTCCCTCGGTGCAAGTTCATCCACTGAAGTCTGGGCAGCCTGTCTAGAGTCTCTCCCTCTAAGAAAATCAGCTCTTGCTCACCCAGCAGTAAACAGCTGCCAGCAATTCTTCAACCAAGATTGGGAGCTGCTGTTCATTGCCACGGTTCTGGGCTGGGTTTTTGTCTAAGTTTGCATGGGTCTTGTGCATGCCAACCCCACTGCTGTAGGTTTGTATGAGAAGGGGCCCAGGCACCTGTAGGACCATTTCTATGTGGTCATGTACCTCCTCCCTGGCTCTTACAATCTTTATAACTTTCTTCATAGTTGTTTACTTCATGTGGGACAAGTCCCCCAACCCCCGCTCCAAGTTTACTTAGTACTGACTGTTATGCACAGTCTCAAAATAGAAGAGTAAGCATTTCTTTGCAGACAGAAGGGGTACTGCAAAGGGGTACCAGGTAGTTGTACTCAAGTCCCAAAGAACCCTTGGAATAATCACACAGTCACCCCAGGAGCCTGTCTGTGATTTTGCTTTATGAATAAAGATGAGTCCACTGATGTAAGAAGGAGTTACTATAAGGGAAAGGGGGGGGGTAAGCTAAAAACAAATGCAAGAGCATTACCAATTGTCCACTGAAAACAGGTTCACGTGTGTGGAAATTAAGGTAGAATTTGGAAAGTGAGTCAATATGAGGAAAAGAACAGCAAATGTCGACAAAGGACACGTAGCCATGATATGTAATGATACATCTATAGTTATCTGAAAGTGTATGCATACAAAGGAAAAGCTGCAGCATGAATCACGGTGAGAAAAACTCCATAAAAGGACACTGGCTCACCACGAGAAGAATTGCCTTATGTCAGCTGCCTCTAAAGCAAGCTGTGTGCCGTGCTGCTTCCATTTCATCATCGCTACGAACTGGAAGGTCATTATCATCGCCCAGTGTATCCATCGCCACCAGCAGCAGTTAGATGTGGCCTCACTGTCACCTCCGGCTCTGCCTCATTCGACGTGAGGGTGAGGATGCGGCACGTCCATCCTGTAACCTTTTCTACATTCTTGGAGGACCCATGCACTTGCTTCTTAAATACTGACTTGACTTGACAGATTTACTTCACCTTACGGAAAGCTCAATCCATTGCCTCTTAATGACAAATGAAGCAGGAGAAACATTTCACCTTTCTTGATCCTTTACCAGTGTGTCCCTCCTTCTATTCCATTCCTTAAAACTTCACAAGAGAGATCACGGAGTCCTCTGTGCTTGTCACGTCTGGACATCCTCAGAGTGAATTCCCGATATAACTACCACCCCCCAAAAAAGATCTGCCAGCAACATTTACTCTGTCACTCAAGTAATAGACGCCACAGGTGTTGAACTTAAAAAAAAAATGAGAAATGGAAAAATCGACTAATAGTCAAAATGGGAATGTTTACAAGACAGGAGAGTCTAATAGTTTTTCCAAAGGAAGTCTCTGATAATTGCTCTTGTTAAGTCTGCCACGGTCCGGCTCTAGATGTTCTATAGACTTCTAACTTCGGTTCTGTAGTAGTTAGTGAGGTCATCTGCATTAAAATGAGGATGCCTGGCTTCATCTCCATTAGCTGCTGTCCTGTCCTCTGGCTGGAATGTAAGAAGTTCGTAAATCAAACTTTCAAAAATTCAGCTGTACTGAGGAGGACAGGAGAGGGTGATGAAGGCCTGTGTACAAAGCACATGATGCACGAGCATTCAAATGCCATAATGAAGCCCATTACAGTATGTAAAACAAAAGGAAGTTGTTTCTTAGTAATAAGCAGATAAAGATATTCTGAGATAAAAATGAAATGAGTAGATGTTTCATGGGAACATTCCATTTCAGAATGTCCATTTCTGATCCCCCGAAACACCTGGCAGGTGGTAATGCACTAAAATACAGAGTGCACTTCCGTGTTCGGTGAAGAAGACCAAAGCTCTGCTGTTATTCCTACATCGTTTTCATCCACATAATTTTTGCCAG